TACTAGAAACACTGTTAGTTTCTATATAAAGATTTCCATAAAATTTTTATAGATTCTATAAATGCATAAAGATTGTTGGTTTCATTATAACCTCTGTTTCAGTGCCAGTGGAAAGAAAAATTACCTGCAACTCTGAAAAGCGATCTACAAATACAGGGATGGGTAGGTATGTTCAGACTTCTAGCTAAAGAGCTCTAAGACATTTGCTATATTTCATCAAAATATAGATGAGCACAGTGGAGAATCAACTTCCAGCACATTCAACTCTAAGCACCACTCTCAGAACAAACAGGCTACGAAAAAGTACAATTGTGAGAACAAATGATTAATTCTTCATGTTTTAGTACAAGAAGTAAATCACATCAAAACGAATGCATTTTAAAATTGTAGGTGTAATACCTATTATACCTGACACATTAAAAAGCTACTTATGGAAATCTTCTCTGAGATAGGGTACTATATCTTTATTCTAAATTATCTCATACCACATGTTATAATTACTAAGGGCTCATTTTTTAATCTGAAAAATCGGGTTTTAAAGCCAAAGATGGGATTTTGATGAGAGGGGTGACCATAATTTGCTAACATGTTAATTTAACTATCCTCTCCTTCAATTCAATTAGTATTCATTAAAACTACACTAATCACAATGAATAAAGTTTTACCAATTATTTCCATAATTATGAATGAATACAGTAAACATAGAATAATTATAAATCCACTTAGTTAATTACAAGGCTATTTCTAGCAGGGAAAGATATTGTGGTTTTCTTTCTTATTTTTAATGCTAGATTGACATGTTGATAGCTTTGAGAAACCATTTCTAGAAATGAAGCATATTATTATGATTATGCTCTTTTTTAACAAAAATTTTCTATTAGGTTTACTAAGAGCTATATTATATAAACTTAGAGTAAGAGAATGAAAAGAATTTGGTTTAAGTTCCCAAACCCAAAGTAACTCAAAAATTGTATCTGTAATTTAGTAACCTTAACCTTAAAAAAAAAAAAATTAGATTAATTCAGATTACACTTAAGAGAGATATAACTTTTTAAATTTCACACGTGTGTTGTTAACAGGTTTTTGGTTTTTTTCTTTTTTTAATGCAGGATCCATTCCAATTCAGGATCCTACCAATGTTGATGTTTTTGTATTTAAACTAGCTAAGCATTAAACAAAAGCAGATGAATAAGTAATATGAACTCTGAAAAGACCCTGCTTTTGCCTTTGTTGCTGTTTGTTTTTCTCTTTCAAAAAACATAGGCATTGCATATCTTTCAGGAATTAAGACAAAAAAAGCCTGTACTTTCAGGTTTTAAGACAGTAAGCCTACCAGATTTTAAAGGAAATATTGAGTGCTACAGTGATTTAATGGTTTTAAACCATAGATGTCATTGCAGTCTGAGGGTGTCACAGACAACTTAAGGAAGAAAAAAAGGGGGGGCACAGAGAAATCACTTTGTCAGTAATTACCATCAAGAGTCCTAAAATGTGGCTCAGGCTGCTCATTACTACTTCCTTCTGTATCAAGACCCTTATTTACATTTCAGATTACATTTTTTATGAAACAGTAAGATCTATCAGAGCTGAGAGGACTGAAATAATGAGGGGAAAACATTTTAATAAAACGTGTTGGGTCTGCATTACTTCCGTGTCAGAAAGAAAGGCTACTTCTGTAGTGATGGATCATTTATTCTGCTTCTAAACGAGAAGCAAAAAAGATGAAACTGATGAACTTTTACTGCCCATTTGTCTTTAGCAGACAATTAAGACAGAGAAGATCAAAATGGATTATCATACCACGCAGACAACTGGCCCAACAGTAATACATCTCCGGGACCACAGATTTGTAACTCTCTTTTATCCCTCCCCTTTCTTCTTACTTCTTTTTCCACTCTAAAGGCAGTGCTAGCTTTGTGGCTCAAGGAGAGCCAAAAGGCTGGTCATCATTATTCAGTCACAGATGTCAATCTAACCTCCCTTTTTTCTCAGTTTCTAAAGCAGTGAGCCACAATAATTTGTGACAGATTCTTTTACTGTAAGGTACAAAGAACACACAGAATAAAACATCTAGCAGCAGCAAGCGTCTCTGATCAAGTGTGCTGGTACATGGGAAATACACTATATGTAAAAACAAGCACCAGTAGTTTAAGCGAATGGGGAAAAACTGGGCGGCGGGGGGGTCGTGTGTGTGTAGTAATAACTGCTATGCTTTGTGGTGAATTGTCCTAAATATTCCTTATGGGTTACACCACAGATGTGTTAATACTAGAAATATTGTCTAGATTAAGTACAAATTCAGCATTTAAGGCTTATATTATATGTAACAGAGATATTTCTAAGAATTCCTTTATAATGGCACACCAAGGGAAAGATAATTTGGCTTAATCCAACAAATGCTAAGAACAAACATTTAATATTAGAATCCAAATTATAAAAAGATAAATAAAAAAATGCAGGTCTCAATTCCTTTACATCTAGGTCAACTCTCAAATTTCTTGGGGAAACACTGTGTCAAGTTGGAAGAGATATCAAGTAAGGTAGTGATGTACATACATTTATAAGTCTACATCCAGCCTATGAGTATCATCCTCCAAATCTCCAAACTAAGTCACTGATCTAAACAAATGCCTATCCTAAGAGAACTTTAAAATAGTTTAAAGTTATTGTTTTTTAGATTCCTATTATAATTTTGAATTATTCCAACTTTAATACATAAAATACTTATAAGACTATTTATTAACTAAAGTAAAGAGAACTAAGTTAACAAAACGACAATACCTAATCAGGAAAATGGGCACTATATGCAATGACAGAGTTGATGAAATTCTGTATTTCTCTTTATTTCTATCTCACATTTTATGTGTATGTATGTGGAGCACCTGTATATATACATACTCTACCCAAACATAAACACATAAATACACTTAGAGAACATGAAAAAATAAACACCAAATTATCACAGTAGTTATCTCCTGAGTAGTAAAATTTTGATGATTTGTATTTTCTTTCTTTTCATTCTTTTATTTTTGCTTTATCTTTATTTCCTAAATTGCTTTTTGCTCATGAACATATTACCATGCAAGTTTTTTTAAAGTTACCCCCCTCCAAAAAAAAAAAAAAGATCATGGTGCTCACAAATTTTCAGATATAGCAAGAAACTATGTTTAAAAGAATAAACCCAGGTGTCAAGTATGTTAAGTTTTCTCCTACATAATTTTTTCTCATTGGGTAATTCAGATCAAGGGACCAAAAAGATCATCTACCTAGACAACAACATTTTAAAGAATGATTTTCTTTTCCCTGGTGGCTCAGAGGTTAAAGCGTCTGCCCGCAATGTGGGAGACCTGGGTTCGATCCCTAGGTCGGGAAGATCTCCTGCAGAAGGAACTGGCAACCCACTCCAGTATTCTTGACTGGAGAATCCCATGGACGGAGGAGCCTGGTGGGCTACAGTCCACGGGGTCACAAAGAGTCAGACATGACTGAGCGACTTCACTTTCACTTTTCTTAAGAACTATGTGCATGTGTGCTCGGTCACTCGGTTATGTCCAACTATGCGACCCCATGGAGTACGCCTGCCATGCTCCTCTGTCCATGGAATTTCCAGGCAAGAATACTGAAGTGAGTTGCCATTTCCTCCTCCGGGGCAGCAAGTCTATTCTACACAAAACTTTTAAGATGTTCCACCCTTTAAACACTGTCTAAAGAAAAAAATCTTTATAAGATCCTATAATCTTTGGATTGTGTAAATCAAATCCAAAGGGCTCAATTCCATACTAACTTTAAGGTAAGATAAAAATTTAACTTTCCTGTTGGAAGATGAAGCCAGGGTAGAGTGAGAAAATGACTATTTTTGTTAAATTTCATTTTAAAGTCTTGAGATGATATGCAAAGCAAACCATACCAGTTTTCTTGGGTTCCTGTACAATATATCTCATGACCAAGCATCTTCTTATCCTGATTATCCAGTGATATTCCTAAAGATGTATAAGATGCCTTGCCCTCTATACAATAGGCCACACTGCAAAGGTGGTACTATTTATTGTACTGGATAGTTATATTCCACCGTATTTACCCTCATTCAAGGACATTTTTAATACACAAAATTAAATGGAGGCACTTCAGAAAAATGTTATTTTGTACAATATACCACATGTAAAATGCTTTCTAAAGTTTATTATGTAATCGAGGATGCTTTTATTTCAAAACCTTTTAAAAATAAGTATACCAAAATGCATGTTTGGTATACTAACATAATATACCCCAAAAAGCTGGTATACCCCAAAAAGCTACGAAACATTTCTAATATTTCTCAAGATAGAAACTGAAATCCAGAATGTATAACCTGGATTTAATTATAAAGAGTAGAGCAACTTCAGAACTTCAGCAGTATTTTGTGAGTAAAGTAGTTCTTTCTACTCCATTCCATGCCTGCAGAATGCAAGAAATTCAAGATGGCACGATGGCAAGACCAACTCGCCAAACAACTTTCACTACCATCATTAAAACCACCCTCACCCTAAAGACCATTCTTGCATGTGTATCTATCTTCTCCTTTAAGTACCACCATAACACAGTTTCATAATTCATTTACAATTTTAGGAAATGTTATAAACTTCCATCCTCCCTACCTTTTTGTTATACCGGTTCCTGACTGCTTAAATAACATTAAAAAAAAAAAAGTTCACAGGCAATCTGAAAAGGACTTGCTAATGAACTGCAGACTGTAGCATACCTCAAAGTGAAAAGTAAAATTTGTGAGAGGTTTTCTTCCTTACTTTTTGTGCATGTTTCCCCTGAAGGTAACACCCCAAATCTAGCGCCAATATTTTCAATCCTACTTCAGTATGTTTTACTTTTTGTCTTAGGTTCGTAATTACTGTTTCCCTTCCTTCTAAAAATTCATTTATCTCTTTCAGTAAAAAGAACAGTAATAATATGTTGAACAACTCTGAAATAAATTTTGTCATGTAAAAAATTAATTACGCATTCCGAACCTGGTCACTGTAGTCCTCCGGGAATTGCCTCTGCACCTCAGGATCTGTAAATAATTGACAGATAATATTAATTGGCTTTGGATTAGTGAGCAAGCAGAGGATCACACATTAATATTTGATCAGAAGATGATAGCAGCCCTGGCAGGGGATCCAAGGGGGGCAGCTGAGGCTGCTATGTTGATGAGCACAAGGAAGGACTCAGTGAGGCACTCCCATTACCCTCCTCCAGAAATATAAAAAAGAAAAATTTTAAAGACCTGATGCTACTGTTAACTTTAGACTATTACCTAATGCAAAAATCTTGCCAGCTGCAAATTGCCCTCGATACATTTTTCCAGAGAAAGTGAGTCTTAAATCTGCTTGACTTTTCTTCTCTTATCAGAAGTATCCTTTTCACAGTTACAGATGTGGGCTTGGTATGTGTGGGTAGGGGTGAGGGAGAAGTCAAGGTAAAGGCAAGGATCAGACAAGAATTCTTTCAAGGAAGAAACGTAAAATTTCCTGTTTTTAAAAATAAAATAAATTCTTCCCCAAATATCTATGCTCTCTTGAAAATAGATGAAAACAATATAGTTTTAGCTTATCAGTGTTAACAAAATATCATATGAGATTAGACTTGCTCAGAAACTATAAACATACATAGGTGAAGATGTCTTTCATGACCAATCTATTTAAAATGGAATCAGGAAAGTGGTCACTTGATTCTTCAACCATAACTGCAGGATAACCCATCATCTCCAAATCAATATAGAAGTATACTAATTAAAAGCTATTAGTACTCCATTTGCTATTGATTAGGGAAACATTCAGTCTTTTCTAAAGAGAGAGATCTGGTTCCTCAGAGACACATTAAGAAGAGTGATCAGAATAGTATCTATGTGAGAAATCATGTATCAATGCAAAATGCTTTCAAAAGCACAATATTTGAGGGTCCCCGACCACAGTGGGTACAGAATATACTACTCAGCTGTCATATCTGTCTTCTAAAATATCAATTTGTTTCTCCATAGCACAGAAGTGAATCTATGTAAAAGTTAAAGTCCTACAAGTCACAAGATAAAAATGCAATTAACTGTTCTGCAATTAAAGAATCAAAAAGGGGGGAAATTATGGGCCTATTCACAAACTACATTTAAATCTTCGAAATGCTAGTTTTCAAGTCAATGGATGTCATTTTTCAACACTCAAGACTAATAAAGGAATATTCAAAAGGTCACACAAAAAGCAGAACTTCCCAAAATAGGTGGTGCAGAAAAGTTGAGACTACCTGTACACTACTTTGGCTCTTAAAGTGTCTTCTGGATGACTTCAAAACTAGGGACAAATTTCTTTACCCTCATCTGCAAATACTAGGAAGACAACAATGATATGTCCAGACCAGTACTGCTAGAATTCTAGAGTAATCCTCACTGCAGTACCTTGCAGGGCTGTTCTGGTAAGTCAGAGGAAGTAGCTGCTGAAAACACACCAGGACTTGTGGATGTTGTGACAGGAGGCCAGAAGGCATAATCTTGCGGCATGAAAAGCACTAGGTCCAGGGTAGGGGTGAGGATGGGGGTGGGGGGAATGGGGACTTGCCAGCAGGATGCAAAGAGACAGCCACAAGCCCAGCAAACCCCTAAAAATGTGCTGTGGGGGTGGAGTAGAAGATCCAAAAAGAGGGCTCTAATTCCTAAAATATACATAAATGACTCTATCCAGAAAAATAACTGGTATTTTAGGATTTAAAATTTGCTACTGAGACCCACCCCTCACACTCCCTGCGAAATGCAGCTCAATGGACACAGTAACACAGAGGCTGGAAAAGCCACAAAATAATCTAAGGCTTATTCTTTTTCTTCTAGTTGTCATGTGGTGAACAGTTAACTCTTCAACAAGAAAACTTCATACAAAAATGACTCACATATAAATCTTTAATATCAAGTTCTCTTTTCTGCAATAGTTTGCTTCTTGGGAACCACAAAAATACCAATGGAAATAAAGATGGAACAAAGTAAAAAAAAGAACTACTTTTTATCACCATTTTCTGAGAGGATGAATATCAGAAACCAAAATTTGTGGTATATTCTTCAATTTTAAAAATGTTTGCTTATAAGTAGGAAAAGGAAGGTCTTTAAATCTCTTTAACCAACTAAGCCAACCATGTTAACAATAAACTACATAAATAATTTTTTAATTATTTATTTATAAAATAAATAATTTAATTTATTTATAAAATAAAATTTTTAAATGCACTTTATTCATATATACATAGAATTGTAAAAAGAAAAGGAAAATAGATGAAAAACATCAACTTGTTTTAATACAATGAAAGTAAAAATGACCATGGAACTCCAAGACGGGTGTCATTCAAACCATATTATTCTAAACTGCCTCAATGATAGGCAGCATCAACTAAATACCTTCATCAACTAAATTCTTTCAACAGTCCTGAGACTAACCCTAGAGTGAGACTCCCAGATTTTAACAGAATCATGTTCCAAGATAATACATGGATTATTATTTACAATGACTCAAGCATAAAGCTTTTGATTCCCTTTCTGTAAGACCCTGAGATTTATAAAAGCAAACTTCATAGGTCTTTAACACTCTCAACAGCAGCATTTAAAAAAAAAAAAAAAAGGCAATGCCTTTTAAAACCGAAGCCCAACCTATAAAGTTCCATTCAATTAGCTCAAAGATCCAGTCTGACAGTTAATAAAACTATGAAAGCTATTTTGTAAAAATTAACACAAAAACTAAAAAAAAAAATTTGTATGAACTTTCTTTAAATGTCTATTTTGCACAGGAGGTTGAAATCATTTTTCACATTGAGTCGACTGTAATGCCTTAATGTCACCAAAATATCGACATTGGAAACATCTGAGTTAAAAAGGTCCAAATACAATCTGCTTTTCTCAAGCAACACAACACCCGCCTCACTAACAGTTTCAGCATGGCACATGTACAAAACCGAGCACCCTGCAGTTCAGCAAACCGCCTTTAAATTTTCTGTCTGGCAGCAATCCACTTGCGTGTCTGTATGCTTTTACAAGTACTCTATGTATTTCATTGCATCAGCTGCATTTCTTTGAGTTTTAAATGGTCTGGGAACATTTTATGAAATGTTCTATATCTTTATATGGAAAATAGCATACACTGGAAAACTGTACATCAGTCTAATATTTATGTATCTGTTTCTTTACCCACCATCCAATGTTATAATTGCTAATGCTCCAAAATTTCTTCTCACATTCATACCCTCACTGCCAAATGCAGTGTCACCAAACAGCTAACTTCCAACGCAAAAATCTGAAGATGAGAGTACTACCAAGGAAAAAAGGAAAAATTAACAATTTGTTTAGGCATTGGTAGTAAGAATAGTTATCAGCATATGTCAAGCTTTCTCTAAGAATTGTCCCTCTGACAGAAAATTAAGAACTTAATATAGAAATGCACTACACCCTTCTTTCTCAGCAAATTTCTCCATATTCAACAGATTATTTAAAAAATTAAAAATCAACTTCAACATCTCCCAGGAAAACACAACCTTTTTGTTGAAAAGTATTTAAAATACCTTGCTAACAAGATGTATGGTATGGAAGAGTCCATACATGATTTAACCACATAAGGCTAAAAAGAGATAGCTGGCTCTAGAACAAGGTTTTACATGATGTCAGTCTGATGAGACACTACCTTCTCTCAGCACTGTGACCATGCAAGACACTGACCCCACACTGACACATGTGCACCACTTCCACTGGAGGTCACAAAAGCATTTCCATATTTAAATCAGACAGTTTACAGTATAGGACTCCCAAGAGCATTCAGGAGTAGATATGACATGACTATGCTGAATAGCCTATGTCTTCACAGCAAAACAAAAACAAAAAAACTGATCTCAGAAGAAATGCTTTTTTTTTTTTTTTTTAAAGAAAAGCTAATTTTCTTCTATCTCAATAGCCTTTTACTATAACATACTATTAAATCTTTAAGATATACCAGATTGCCACAGGATGTTTAATTAACAGAATAAGAGTTTGGGCAAGACTTACTGGAAAGGCACTATAAATTATTTTACACAGGCTCCAAAACCTTGAGCTCTGCCTTAGGCTTAAAGTTTCTAGAAAACGTGGCAGACAGATCTTTTATGACAGAAATGCAAAATAATTCATAGAAGTACCGTGCTTATGTATGAGGGCCCATTCATAAACTGGTAACTAAAAAGTGTACATACTCACAAACACATAGCTTACCAAATTATCCTCCTGTTTTCCTTTGCCACACCAATGACTGACTCCATTGGAAGGGTCAAGGCAAGACGCTTTAACTGATTATTGAGAAATACACTGATTTCACTTTCTGTGAAAGGTGTAGCAACTGCGCCTTTAATCAAGTGTTACAATCTTCTGCAATTGGAGCTCTTTTAGGGAATTGAAGAGAAACTGCAAATGCAGCCATTAACACAGACATCTACACTGCTTTCACTTTAACATGCTAGATACCAAGGCCGAAAACGTTGTATATAACACCCACTAAATTCCAACCATTATCTCTAGGATATTTCAGTGAATAAGAGACAAATAGTGAACACATTTAAGCTTACAACAATAAAAATATGCCCCGTTACAGTGAGACTTTAAAATGAGCTATAACGATATAATCTCATTGTTCAATTTCATGGAGTTTAAGATACTATCTTCCTTTCCCCTAAAACCATAAATGTTAATCCAAGCTGTAATCAGATTTAATTTTCCAGATGAGAAGATGAGAATATGCTGCAAACGAGTAACAGTCCATTACACTGCTCTTTCCCTAACAACACTTTCCATTTTTATATACTAAAAATATAGACCCTCAGAAAATAGTCTAGAAAGTTGTACATTTTAAGGACAAACTCAATCTTCCTCAAAACACTTAAAAATAAACTGTCTTTTAATCTTCAAGAAGAGAAGTTAATTCTTTGTATCATGTAGAATTAAAGTTTCTTGACAGTAGGACTTCAAACTGGACTGCACTAAACTAATGAAGAGCTTCAAGGACACTGCCTATTAAATCTGTTTTA